TTTTTTACCAAAATCGACTGCACAAAAATTTCTCGGGAAAACACTTTTTCTTATTAATTTGGGTGCGTAGAATCCAAATCAATTCGTACTTTTTCGATCAGAAACCAATTTCGAAAACAAATTCAAAGGGCTGTAACTTTTGAACTAGTAGCCCAATCTTGGAACTGTTTGAAATTATGGATTCTACAGGCCGCATTCTATAAGAAATTTTTTTTTTCCGGGTCGATCTGAGACAATTTTTTTTTCGGGGTTCAAAAAAAGGCAGGATATAACCTTCCTTTTTTACCAAAAATCGACTACACCAAAATTTCTCGGGAAAACACTTATTCTTATTAATTTGGGTGCGTAGAATCCAAATCAATTCGTACTTTTTCGATCAGACTTCTCAATCAAAAGTTATAGACTAGAAACCAATTTCGAAAAAAAATTCAAAGGACTGTAACTTTTGAACTAGTAGCCCAATCTCGGAACTGTTTGAAATTAGGGATTCTACAGGCCACATTCTATAAGAAAATGTTTTTTCCGGGTCGATCTGAGACAATTTTTTTTCCGGGTTCAAAAAAAGGCAGTGTATAACCTTCCTTTTTTACCAAAAATCGACTACACCAAAATTTCTCGGGAAAACACTTTTTCTTTTTAATTTTGGTGCGTAGAATCCAAATCAATTCGTACTTTTTCGATCAGACTTCTCAATCAAAAGTTATAGACTAGAAACCAATTTCGAAAACAAATTCAAAGGGCTGTAACTTTTGAACTAGTAGCCCAATCTTGGAACTGTTTGAAATTATGGATTCTACAGGCCGCATTCTATAAGAAATTTTTTTTTTCCGGGTCGATCTGAGACAATTTTTTTTTCGGGGTTCAAAAAAAGGCAGGATATAACCTTCCTTTTTTACCAAAAATCGACTACACCAAAATTTCTCGGGAAAACACTTATTCTTATTAATTTGGGTGCGTAGAATCCAAATCAATTCGTACTTTTTCGATCAGACTTCTCAATCAAAAGTTATAGACTAGAAACCAATTTCGAAAAAAAATTCAAAGGACTGTAACTTTTGAACTAGTAGCCCAATCTCGGAACTGTTTGAAATTAGGGATTCTACAGGCCACATTCTATAAGAAAATGTTTTTTCCGGGTCGATCTGAGACAATTTTTTTTCCGGGTTCAAAAAAAGGCAGTGTATAACCTTCCTTTTTTACCAAAAATCGACTACACCAAAATTTCTCGGGAAAACACTTTTTTTCATTAATTTGGGTGCGTAGAATCCAAATCAATTCGTA